GTCATCCCCAGCATTGATTCCCTATAATATAGAGGGAAGGTGTAATAGCAAAATTAAAAGCAATGGGAGTGCCTCCTGGAGAATACAGTGTTCATGAAATCATAGCTGCAGCCTGGATGCACAGAGGGTTGCAACTTTCTACAGAAAAAGCCCTCAGAAGTGGTTGTGATGGTTGGCTGTTTTCCACATACTGAGAAATATGCTTCTGCAGATGCAGTTGGTCTTCCTTTCTCCCTGCATACTATCCCCTCCCCATCACTCCTCAACCAGGAAGGTGAGATTCCCCACTAAGGACTCCAGCACAGTGCAGAATGTAACAGGACATGCTTAGAGTTATTGCTTCACTGTGTCATTAGTTTACGTTATGCACAAGTTTTCTTCAAAGACTGAGGCTTTTCCCAAAGTAGTTACAGTGAAAGGGGCCTGATTTTTTGCTGTCTGACTCACACCTGAATAGCACCTCATGCGAGAGGAGTCTGGGGGCTTCGCGAACACCAGCTCAGGATGCTGGGTGGACAGAGAGAGCGGCTGAAGGGGAAGGAGAGTCACAAACAGGACGAATTCCAAGGTGTGATTTTTCAGGGGCTGAAATGAAAAGCACAGGCAGATTCAGCATATGAGAGCAGGAAGTTGGTCTGTGCAAAGAGGGTCCTGTCTGGAACACTGTGTCTTGGTTGTCCTAGACACTTCTAGGAGGAATGGGAGAAGGGAATCGAGACGCTTCAGGCAGGAAGGTGTGAAGGGGATACCAGTCAGGCAGGAGAGCCTGATTGCTGATGGCCCAAAGGGGTCAGGAGGAGAGGCAAGGTCAGAGCTGAAACTTTCCCCTACTTCTTCCTTCCCAAAGTTCCTGATGCTGCAGACCTGATGCAGAGGGACTGGCTATGGCATGGGTGTCCTTTGGAAAGGATTCCTGTTCTGCTGAGGACCCCGTTGCCAGCCAAAGCCAGCCTAGCATCAGATGCTCCTTTCCTCATACGCTCAGGAGGCTTCCTGGTCCCTATGTGAGGAATGCAAGTTTAGTAGATGAAAATCCACAGCCAAATACTGCAGGACAGCATCAGAAATGAGTTTCATACTATTTCAATCAGAAATCTCCTTTTTTATACATGTATTTTATGCATTATATAAATATTTCAATGAGCCCTGGAACTGCTATAGATCCAAAAAGTAGGAGTTGGAAGAACATTCGGCACAGAATCAAATGGTATTTTTATATGATTTGGTCCTTGCTGTTATAGTTACATAACTTTACAGAGCTATGTAAAGCTATTTACTAAAAGCCCACCAGTCTTGAAGCTGCCATGTGTTTCCTTAGTGGCAGGATAAAATATCTATTTTGCCACACTGGAACAGGGCTCTCAGGATATACAGACAGATTCTGTGGCCTGTTCTAGCATGGGAAATGTGTACAAGCTATAACACAGTTTCTGCTTTGCTTTTGCTAAGGGGGAAGAAGGGACAAAAGTGTAAAAAATTTAAATGAAAAAGGCAATTCATGTCTGGTAGCTACTAGCTGCACTAATGTTAATTTATGCCTTTGATTTGGTCATAAAACTCTATGCTAGCATTAATGAATATTCATCTTTAGATGCTGCAACACATCCCGTTTCAAAAAGAACAGGCAGGGGTCCTTTTTATGAGCCGCACGGAAAGGGAAACTGGTGAGAAAGGAAAAGACTAAAATGAACTGTTGATTCCATGGAAAATACTTTAGTTAGACTCTTTGAGTTTCCTCTTTTACTCCAAACTGGGCAGCAAACAGTTAGCTATGGATGGGAATATTTTACGCCATGCAGGGTGCAGTCAGTGCCCTCCCCAGGACAGGGAAGAGGCTGGCGAGCAAAGTGAGGAACCTGCGTTACCACAAGTGACACGAGCTGATGAGGCCACGGTGGAAAGGGCGGTCACCCAAAGAGCCCAGGCGACATCCAGGCTCGGGCCTGGGCCACCAGGCAGTGCAACCTGTTGCTGTGCAAAACTGCGTGCACGGGGTTGTGTTCAAATAGGCTGGCTAAAGCATTCTTTTTTTTTTTTTTTTTTAATAATGAGAAGGTCCCCAGGGGTTTACAAGCATCCCTAACACTGGGTGAAATAACTGCTTTCACCTTCCCCGAGGATTCAGAGCATCCTTGGGACGTGTCCCTGCGGCGGGTTTGCCGAGGCCGCTGCACCCTCGTGCTAAGCCACTCTTGGGCACTGCAGCTCCGCCGCTTCCAGCAGCCTGAGCGGGGCCAGCGCTTTCCTTCCAGGAAAAGCTCAGAGCGTCAAAGCCTCTTTCGCGTTCACCCCGCTTCCCCTTTCATCTCTGCCCCTCGCGCCACCACAACAGCGCCCGGGCTCCTGCCGATCCCGACCGCACTCCTGCCAATCCCACCAGAAGCACCACGGGGCCAGCACCAGGGTGGCACTGGGCAAGACCCGGTGGGGACAACCGGGCAAGATTTCCTGTGAAATTCCCTTCCTCTCCCCACCAGCTCTGCCAGGGCTTTAGCCCCAGCCTCTGTCAGTCACAGTGTGTCAAAGGAAAGGAAATACATGAAATAAAGGAGGCAGATGCCTTCTTTCTGGCACTGCAAGTACAACCTATTGTAGTCTGGCTTGGGGATGAAAGCGTCTACTGGAAGATAGGCACCGATAGGAAGAGGATGGGCACGATTAACTCTTTGACTTCTGATCCCCCAGCATGCTGATGTATTAACAGCTCACAGAGGTGCTGGTGCCGGCATCATGGCGCTCTGTGATTTTTCCACGATTTTTCCCACCCGTTCCCCTTCCCGCATCCCTTCCCTCCCCGCCAGCCCATCCCTCCCCGCCGCCCCTCGCCCCTCGGCGCTGCCCCTGCCCGGGGTGGAGCGGGTGCTCGTCGTGCTGCGCTTCGTCCCCTCCCTCTTTTGTTCTGCCGCGCCCGGCGGCCGAGGGACGCGGCCCCGGTCCCGAGCGGGGCTGCAAGCGGCCGCGCTGAGCCTCGCTGCCGCCCGGGGCGGCGAAGGAGGAAAACGAAACGATACAACGTAATAATGGAATAAAATAAAATAAAATGAAATAAAATAAAATGAAATAAAATGAAATAAAATAAAATAAAATAAAATAAAATAAAATAAAATAAAATAAAATAA